GTTAAAAAATGCAATATTGAAATGTTCAATAAAATTACAGGAGAAAAACGAGTTAAAAAAACTGTGGTCTCCAAGGCTTGCTTAAAATGTAAAAGTGACCTCATGTCACGTATTGATTTGTCAAGACTGTTCCATTCTGCTATTCCTTGATATAAAAGGCGCTGTTTTCGTAGCAACCTCGTTCCCAGGGTCTCTCATCTCACCGCCCCTTGGAGCTAAAAGATGAGAGACCCTGGGAACGAGGTTGTTTTCATAATATTGTGTCTAACTCGCTGTAAGTAAAAATTGGATTTGCCACGAGTATTATAAGAATGGTTGTCACTGAGTCGCTTTGTATCAAACTTCAAATCTATAATTCCATTTACATATTTAAAAACGAAGACACAGTGGTGAAATAACCTATGTTTAAAAATTGTTGGCCAACAAAGTTCTTTCAATGCCTTTGTAGAAGAGTAAGAACAAATTAAAGTAGACTAAAAATAATCTTAACAGCCTTATAGAATTTAAATGGTGTTTTTCTGAGTCAATAGCCTTGGAAAACCAAAAGTGCAAGTGTGGAATATTTCTTTTAAAACGATAAAACATGATTTTTTGTGTGAATTTTATATGTTTTCACCTTCCTCTGATATAAATCCATGCCATTCCATATTTTTGGTCGGGATCATTTGCCGTCCAATATGGGGATCACTTCCGGCCCGGCATCATTTGTGGTCCAATTTGGGGATCACTTGCGGACCCGTACAGGCCCCTGCCATGCACACCATGAGCAGGATCTTGGCCCCCCTGAATATTGCTGGTTTTCATGTGACGTCATCATTTTCACAATTAAAAATTTCCCATTCTCCTGAAGTTTTAGTTTCATCAGATATAAGAGTCTCTAAGAACGACGTTTTACAACGTTTGAGCTCGAAAGGGTTCTTCGTTTTGTTATAGAGGACGTTTGAATTTCCAAGTTTATGCGTTGCGTGACATTAAAATGGCGTCCCGACAAGGCTCTCGCGTAGGTCAA